TATATATATATATATATATATATATATATATATGTATATATATTTGAGATTGTCTAACACTGTAGTAACTCTTCATTCCATTTTTCAAACAATATATATTAGTAGTTCAACAGGGTTCAGGCCACTAAAACGGCTGCTGCTCCTTTATCTCAAACCGTCAACCCACTATTTTTACACCTGTCCAAACAGGTGATGACACTTCTTGGCTCTAAAGAATGGTGTGTTGTGAACTTCTTCTCTCCTGGGCCGCACAGGTCAGAGTTTATAAATTACTTTAAATATAAAACTCACTTGACACCATTTGCCTTGAGAAAACTCCAGCAAGAACTACTTTTATCCACATTGCTGCCCAAAGAGTCACAGTGGTACACAAATGCTTTTTAGATAAATATCTGCTATCCCTGTTCGTGAGCTCTCCCTTAGGGACAATGTTCAAAGCTCAGTTACAGAGGACAAGCTGGGTGTAAAGTCATATTGATCTAATGCCTCGCAGTCATGTTGTATGGATGTCAAAATAGAAGAAGACTCTTGGATAGATCTAGGGCAAAGAAGATGAATCAAATCCTGCAGCCTGATTGGTTGAGAGTTCATTCACCAGCTGAAAGTTTAATGGTTTTAACCCATGCAGTCTCAAACTGCCCTCAGGCAAAATGCTGAATACATTTCCCTGATGTGTCCACATCAGTGTGTGTGTGTAAATGTGTAAAATAAAGTCAAAAGTGAAAGGATGACTGACAAACACAATTTAGCTTACTTTAAAGAATCAATCAGAGGTTAGATGGTGATGTAGCTTCAGATCATTTTAATTTATATACTGCATGTATTTGGGTTATGGGGCAAGGAAACTATGGTGGTATTGAGCATGCATCAGGATATGGTGGTAGTGTTTTTTTTGTTTTGTTTTTTTCATTTAGCCTTTATTTATACAGGTAGTCTCTTTGAGCCACGAGAACTCATTTTCAAGAGAGACCTGTTTAGGGAGCAGATGGGGGTAAAGGGCCTTGCTCATGGGCCCAGAAAGGGGCGAATGAGGGTGGGGACAAGTGTGGGTACTTCACCTACCCCACCCACATTTTTGATGTTGTCGGTATCGGGACATGAACCGGCAATCTTCCGATCACAGGCACACTTTCTAACCTCTGCGCCACCACTTCCCCAATTAATTAATGTTAATGGTTAATGGTTCTTTGTCTTCTTAGACCTAAAACTACATCAGTTATTATAAACAAAAATATTTTCAGCTCCACTTTTTCTTGTTCTAACTCAACATCATGATCACCAGCTTATTATTGGGCGATTTATATTTGCCTTTTCTGGGAAAGATAACATTTTTCCACAGAAGGTAACCCACTGAGCACTTTGATGTTTTAGATGTCTGAATGATGTTAAAATGGCTATGGTATATCTAGACTTAATAGGTCTAAATTTGGTCTAAAAGTGAAAGTTTAGCAGAGTTCTAAAATTATATTTAGGTGTTTGCATTTAACTGTGATTGGCAAATTTATATATTGCCCATTGAGTGGGGGAAATAAAGAATTGAATTTGAAATCTTTATAATACAAAAGCCACTCATGCTAACGAGCTAATTGGTCATGAAATGTTTCAATTAAATTCAACCTTTATTTATACAGGTTAATCTCATTGAGCCTTGACGACTAATTTACAAGAGAGACCTGTTTTAAACAAAGAACACAGATGACAAAAGTAGACAATCATAAAAAGCATATAAAATGAAAAGTAAATTGAAGAAA